ATTGCAGTATTTAAAAGTTCCAATGTTCGTATTTATTGACTGATTAAAAAGGCTTATACCATAGCAATCAAGTGAGATCAATTCCCGACAGCTCCATTTAATCCCAGCTCTTTTGTAACCTCTCCAAATTCAATGACATAATCTAGCATATCAAACTTCAATCATTTACCCCCATGACTCAATTACTTACCATTGAATGCACTGGCAATTACAATAACAATTAAAGCCATTACGACTGGAGAAGTGAGCCCGCATAATAATGGGGCCAGGGGATGTACTCATATGTATATATAGACATATGGATGCTGGATGCTGATCCGGACCGAAACGGGAGCTGATTCTGGTTCTGATTGACCGATGGCAGCCATAAATGATGTTGCGGTGCACTCGGCCGACAGTCGCCCACTACTCACCTCCCCTTTTGGCCAGTTGCACAACCAGGCTGCATATTTATGCTAATTAAGACACATCGAGTGGCAGCCAAGAGTGGCGGTGGACAATCTCTTTCTGCGGCCTGCCTTGCATTTTATGGTCGCTTTTTCGTTTTATTGTTTTATGTGTGCATCGCCATTATTAATGCTATTATGGTGAGCATTTATTATTTCATGTTGGACAATTAAAATAACTACAATTTTTGTTTGCCGCGTTGAATAATGTGTGCAGTTATGCCGGCTTGGCCAACAGCTCCGACTCCCAGGCGGCCCAAATGAATAAAGTGAGCATCCATCTCTCTGATGCAATGGAAACGCAATTGTTTCGCTGCCAGGCGACACTTGATTCCCACAGCAGAAAGTCTAATTAACTGCCGACCTTGATTAAGTGCGAACAATGCAAGGGAATTGCAACAAAGCGGGGAAATGGGTTAAACACTAGAGTGAATGAAGTGGGAGCCAAGTCTCTAGATCAAGTGGCATTATGGGTCAGCTCTCAGGCGGTACTTTCTGTGTTATAAATATCATATACCGCATTTAATAATATTAGAATTATATTGTATTTCCAAAAACCAATCAGTTAAAAGTAAAACTAATGTATACCTTTTTTTTAATTTTATTCTTAATTTTTTCAGTTTTATTTTCGTAAACTAATGCTCTTACGACAAAGAGTTTCTTTTTCGTGCTTTTACCTACATGTCCCTGTATAAATGGTTGTCAAAAAACAAAGCTCATAATAACAACTTAAGGCTCTAAAAATTTAATCGATTTCGCTCGTCATTCCTGGGTTTTATTCGCACTCAGTGGTTATGCGAATGCCCTCGACCCATTATACTCCTCCGAAATCCATTCAAATACAAACCAAAGCGTTTTAATCAAAAACAAGCTAAGCCGGAAAAATTCAGTTTGGCATTCAACTTTGTATTGGTCGATGTGTGTGTGTAATAGCCAATTCACTGGTTGCATTTTTGATGGGGCCAAAGACTCGTATGGCCATTGTCCGCAAACGGAGCAACCGGACTAATGGCAAAACAATCCCCATGATTCCGCAGCTGCCATTCCCCTATGCAGAGAACTGATCCCTGCCGAAACATGCAAATTCATGGACAAAGCCATTCCTAACTCAACTCTCAACTCTGTGGAAAAATTCAAAAATTGCATTTGCTTTCGGTTTCGAAATGGAGATTACCCCTACGCAAATATGCAGTTGGAGAAAAAAATTATATCGAGGTTTGTCCTCTCACAACATACAACTTTTTAATATTTTAAAAATTTCCAATCTCCATTTACGTTTCTAAAATACATTAAATGCATTTATTACAAAATACTATATTTCCAAGTAATTTAAAATCTTTTACTTAAATTTTATTTCATTTTTAAAATATTTTCAATTTTTCTAATATTTTCTACCAATGTTTTAAAATACACTATAAAATACTTAATATTTTTCTGAGTGCATGAGTTCCTATTTCTGTTTGGTTGTGGGTGCATGGGTGAGCCGCAAACATTTTGATTATTTTAGTTGACTGGTGCAAAAGTGTGGCTTAATTGTTACCAACAAACAATAAGCGGAAGCTTGTGGCTTTGGCAAATCTCGACAAACTACAAGGAGGGTGAAGGCAAGTTGGCTAAAATGTCGATGCAAGCCCACAATCAACAGCATTAAAATCATCTCAGATGCCAGTCAGGCGCCCACCAGATGATGATGATGATGATGTGGATGGGGATGATGCTGCTACTCAGTCTTTTGTGCTAGAAAAAACCATTAAATCCCAAAGAAAAGTAGATGCTTTGCTTCAAGGTAAGGCGTTGCCAGAGGTTTCAGATCCATTTCTTCACTTTCCTCGCTGCCATTCTTTATGGCAGCTTTTCAACGCGTGTTCTGTATTTGTAAACAATTTGATGTGACACCAAAGGCACTTGTGACCTTCCCGCCCGCCTTTATTCCACTCATCCAACCTTTGTGCCGAGCATAAGCATACATATTTATTTTGGACCCTACACCACACGCATCGTGTTTGGCTTTGTGGACTTAAACTTGTCCGCATTTCCATAGTTTGTGTCCTAGTTTTTGGTTGGCCACGCATTCAAATGGCAGTTTCCTGTGGGCAAATATAACCAAAAATCCAACCACTATTTGACCCTTTTGAATTTTATCTCCCTGACATCGGAATAGAACAACTGCTCTGGAAAGTACCAATTTAATTTGAATAGCCTTCAATTTTTATCCACGTTTTTCATTAATATTTCACTATTTTTATTTGCTGTTGATTTAGCTGAATTGGATTCGCAATATTCAGAAATAACTGAGCTGGATTAGTCGAATAACCACAAATTTGTAGTTTTAAATGTTGAAGAGGGTAGATTCAAGTGTCTAATATTTAAAACCATGGTTGTGCATAATTTAAATAGACAAAAAATATAATTTTTTTTGGAATTTGTTATCCTATTTTGCTACATTTTAGAATATACACATCATACCTGAAAGTTGATTACTATTTGATTGAATACCTTTCCAATCACACAATTAAGTGCCTGACACACGGGCAATTTGTTAAGAACGTAGAGTGTTAAATCAAATTCTCAACGATATTAATTATGGGCTAGGCTCTGTCTTCTTCTTCCCCATTTATAGTCTGGCTTCTCTTGCAGCTTATACCACACCTGAGTGACTGCGACTCTAATGGCCGCATCTCCTCCACCGTGGAACTCCTTCTGCCCCAACTTCGCCTCCTCCTCCTCGAAGCGAAAGATCAAAAGTCGCCCGGAGGTGTGGAGACGGGAAAAAGAGGAACCAGATCAAAGAGTTAAACCTGTTGGGGAAGAAGGAACTCAATTGCAAAACGAAACGAAATGCGCTCCCCGCTGTTAGCAACTCATACTGCCGGCTCATGTGGCAAGATCAGCCAGAAACTAAGAGGCAGGGGCATACAGGCACACATGTGGCAACCGGCACCACCCGCTAGACCCCCTTATAAACATGTTTTCTGGATATGTTTGTCTTCTCTTCACTTAGAAAAAATTCCAAAAATAAAATTGAAAACAATCAATAAACTTACAAAAAATTTATTTGTTTAAACAAAAAGGTTTTTAGATTACAAACACAAACTTTGGAAAAAAAAAACAATTCAGTCATAAAAAATTCTTGAGCAATCTTTGTAAAATATAATTTAAGAATACGTATGAGTAATATAGACGATAATATCCATATTGATGACAAATTAATGACGTTTAATGAATAATAGTATTGATTAGTTTGGAACTCAATTTAATTATTTATATAGTAGTGTGCTAGTGCTAGTGCTAGTAGTATATAGTTATATAAGTACACAATTTTTAAATTTAAAACAAATTGAATAAACAGTTTTAAAAACCAACTTTTTTCTTTAATTTTTTAATTTAAAACTGAATTGAATTTTCTCAGATTTGAGATTACTGGTTTAAATCTAGTATAGAATTTTGAAATTATTGCCATTGATTTTTTCCCAAGTGCTTATGTTCTGACTGCAGACGAGATTCCTCCCATCTTTCTTCGGGAACCAGGAGGGAAGTCAACCGAGGCGATCTCGACAGTCCAAGTTCATTGCTCTGGGTGTCGTCTGTGGCAAGTCTGTGCGGCACAAAATGATGGGGCACTACTTACAGCTCATGTGTTGTGTAATTTCGAACATGCAAAAATATGCATCTTGATTGGCGTTGACTCTTCGCTTCGGATTGCCATGGATTCGTATTAAAAGCGTTTACTGAACTTTTGATTAATTGCACATTTCCAGGCGCCACCGTTTGCTCTAGGCCTGAACTTGGTTGGAAAAACAGGTTGCATGCAGTGTAGTCAATTTTGATTTATTTGACAGGCACGCGTGATGCGGCAGGCGGTACAATGCGTTTGACACTTTTCCTATTTGCATAATTCCGTTGATGGTCCAGGGAACCGGTGGGAACTGCGAATAATGGCCAGAGGAGTCAATCAACCAAGGCTGCAATGGACGGGTTACTTGTGTCCGGCAGGTGAGCAACAAAGGGGCAACAAAGTCGTTGTTTTTGATAGGTATAATTTTTTTAAAATCTATAAAACATATTAACATCAAAAACAATTTCAAATACTCTTCTACGCCACCAAACTTCTCTATTTTACGGTCATTCCTCAAACTATTTCTAAGCAGCGCTCTTACGGCTAATTCTGGAGACTTGAGCAATATACATATGTAGATAGTGCTGATACAGTTTTTACACAAAAAAAAAGCTATAAAAATAATGGAAATAAAAAAATATAATGTGCAGGAATCACTGCATATAATACGAAATGGAAATTACTTTTTAAAGGAAAGTGTGATTAAATTATATAAAAGAAAACGGAAACAAAGTCCATAGTTGTCTAAGTCGTAGCTTTTATTTTTAAGGTTTTTGTAACGGCTCGAGGAATTTGATGAGAACGATTTCTTGTTTTCTTATCTCAGCTAACCCAATTAAACACCAAAATTAAAAAAACCCTTTTAAGAATTTTAAACCAGAAAATAAATAAAAAACTTAGAAAAAAAAAAAATTAAAAATTTCTAAAAAAAGCAACAATGACATTTAGGAATAATGGTTTATTTTAGCTGTTCGGAAAAATAGAAATGCATAGAAGGTTATTTTACTCTAGCAGTATTTGCTCTTGAAGTCGTAGTCATCCTCGGAACCGGTGGCCAGCAGCTCCTCCTTGCAGCCGTGGTGCAGTCGGTGCACATCCGTGTCGAAGCACTCATCGTGGAGCCGTTTGTCCCGGCTTTTACTCCGCTGTCGTCTCGAATGGGATCCGTGTCCATGTCCATGACCGTGGTGATTGTGGACATGGCTGCTGGAGCCGTGGTGATGCTCGGACGGTGGGTGATGGCTGCTTGCCTTATGGTGAAACGAAGCTGGCGGAGGACTGAGCTCCCTTGGCGGCCGACAGTGGGAGGATGGTGGCACGGGATCATCGTAGCGAGGACATGGATGATCCCCAACGGGCGAGGCTGTCTCATAGCGTTTCGACAGCATTGTGAACTCCTGATGGGCCGAGCAAAGGGCCTGAAGACGATGCAAAAGATCGGTTTCTGGCAGATCCCTTAGGTGCAATGTCCTGGCCACCGAAGTGCGGAAGGATTGCAGATGGGAGAGGCGCTGATTGGCATCCGAAAGTTGGGAGCTCAGACGATTGACATCATCGCGCATGGACTGAAATTTAGAGTGGGATTTAGTTTACGTATTTTGCATACACACAAAAAAAGCATGTAAAATGTACGTAAAATCGATATGGCCATGTAAATTTCATGTCGCTTTTACATGAAATACCCTTTTCCTGCCCCCATATCAAATTAAAATGGATCTTAAATAATGTAAAATCGATCTACGTTTCATATCGATTTTTTTGGGTGTACTTACATTGATTAGTGCCTCATCGCGACACCTACGATTTTGATTGGACTCGCAGGAGGACTTGAGTCGCTCCTTCAGGGCACTTAATTGGGAAAGCATCCGGGTCTTTTCGTCCTCCAGATCGCATATCTGGGTGGTCAGCTCGTCAATCTTCCTGGCCCGTTCCAATGAGGTGATCTTGTACTCCACGGCCTCGGCTAACTGGGCCTTGACCTCGGCTATCTGAGATCGGGCATCGGCCAGCTGGGCACTCAGCTTGTCCACCTGCTTGGCCGCCTTCTTGGCCCGGCAGACGGCCTCGTCCCGTTCGCCCTGCAACATGCACTTGCCCCGTGCCCCATCCTCTATGATGGCCAACTTGCGACGCAGCAGCTCCAGGTGGAGATCCCTGCGCTGCACTTGCTCCCTGAGAACCCGGACTCGTCGCTGCAGATTGTACACACTGCTGCTTTCCTTCAGGGGAATGTCGTGGCAGGATCTCTCCCTGCGCAGCTTGCCATGACCATGACCATGTGAATGATCACAGCAACCCTTCTCCGGACTGTGATGATGATGATGGTGGGACACCTCGTGCTCGCAGTGGGCAGTGAGTCTCTCGGCTCTTTCGAGCAAGTTCTCCGCCATCAGATTGGTATCGGTTCCCAGGGCCGGAGGTGCCGAGCACTCACTCCAGTTCATCGCATTGGCCAGGCGCTGCAGGAACTCGGACAGACCCATGTGATCCTTGCGCAGGGTGTGGATCTCAGCATGGCACTTCTCCAGCCGCTCGGTTAGTTCGCATTTTTGAGCCTCCCCAGAACGGAGGCGGCATTCGGTGGTCTGTTGGGTCTCCTTCAGCTTTTCGTGCTCCGTGCTCAGCTGATCTCGCAGTGAATGCATTTGCTGGAATGGGGAAAGCTATAATATAATATATAAAAGGCTAAACGATTTTTATTACCGCATGCATGGCCTGATTCTCCGCCAGAGTCTCCCGCAACTTGTCCTTGATGAGCGTCTCGCAAGGTTCGGGCACATTCAAAAGATTGCTCAATCCCCGCAAGAACTGCAGACGATCGCCCTGAATCCTGTCCAGGTTGTTCTGCAGGCGATGACAACGCGACTCGAAGCCACGCAACTCTTCCTTGAGCTTCTCCCCATTGATTTCCGATTCGGTTAATCGATCCCTTTGGACTTGCAGGTCCCTTTCGTACTGGCGACACCGTCCTTCCAGCTCGTGATTGTGATTCCCTGCCCCATCGAGCTGGGCAGTGAGCCGCTGCTTCTCGATGTTGGCCAGCGATTTCATATTCAGCAGCTCATTCTCGCAGGAGCTCAGGGTGTCGCAGGTGGAACTGACCTTGGCCTTGGTCCTCTGCAGCTCGACCATCACTTCCTCGGCCCGGGAAATGATGCACTCGGGCGTAGCATGGGAATTCTGATTGCCATCGCACACCTCCATGCCCAAGCCAATGCTCAGCCGGCGCAGCAGATCGTGAAGCTGGGCCTTGAGCTGATCCTTCTGCGACTCCTCGCTGGCCACATGGGTTTCCAGGTGTTGTATCTTGCAGATCAGCTCCTTGTTCCGCTCATCGGAACTGCGCTTCTCCCGCTGAACCGTCTGAATGGTGGAATCACATCTGGCCTGGACGGCTTGCTCCCTGCTCTCGGAGTTTTGCAGACGACTCTGGAGGGATCCGATGAGAGCAGTTTGCCGGGCAGCCTGGGAGCGCAGATTCTCAATGTCCGCCTCTTTGCTGCACAACGCAGTGCGAGTTTCAGCGAGCTGTATAGAGAAACAGAGGTGTTCTTCATTTAATTAAGTTCTTAAAAGAAATCTTCTTAGTTTTTACCTCTCCGGTAAGTCGCTCCTTTTTGTAGGACAACGCAGCCAATTCGCTGCGCAAAGTGGTGGTCATGTCCAGGCCATGATGGTGTTCCGTGACTGTGATTCCCGCATTGCCACAGGATGTGTCCAGCTGGAACACACACATATATTAGGATAACGAAACTAACTAGGTTTTTACAAAAAAAGTCGCCACTCGGCTTATAAAAACAAGTTTAAGTTTAAAAAACACTTATAATTTCTAAAAAATATAAATTTTTGTATGTATGAATGTATTATATTTAGAAAAATATTTTTGTATAGGTTGTTTAATACAAATTGAAAACAAGTTTATCCCGTTTAGCCACGAGAATATAAAATACATGTATTAATCCTTCTTCCTCTTATAAACCTTATTTAGTTTCCATTTTTAACTCAAAACTCGTATTTTAAGTATTTATAGATGTTTTAAAACCATTCCTTCATTTTGTAACCTTTTTATATAATATTCAAGGTGTTTTTTAACAAATTTAGAATTGACAATAAAATGGAAGAAACTTTATTATTTTTGAAAAAATGTATTTTTTTTGTTCATAATTCTTTAAGTAAACCTATATGTTGGCACTTTTCATCATTTTCCAAACAGAAAAATAATATCCTAATTTTATGTCTAATTTAGGATTTCACTTCTTATCACTTATCAATCGTATCCCACCAAGTGATGATGATGCGGCGACAGACCACCACTGTGACCCAAATGATGGTGATGCAGATGATTTTCACTGGGCATTTTAAAAGCCTCGCACTCCGGATTGCAACCACTCCGAAAACCAAACCAACCGTTCCCAGTCAAAGCCGTCGGAGAACTGAGCTTTGAATCGGGAGAAACTCCTTTCGGGCAGCCTAACAACCTCCACCTAACAACTGAGGGTTGTCCGATGCACGGCACCAAGGAATTTACCTCAACATAACATCACACAATGCTCAAATTTATGCTCCAAGTGAAAACGAGCTCAATGGCAGGGGCAAAGGGAGTTCCAGGGGAAAGAGCCGGACTCGGGTGAAGTTACACCATTGTAGCCACGTTTACACATTCGGAAAACTTTGCAGTTTGTTTGGATTATTTGGGTCATTCACATGGTGCCAAGTGGCGAGGTATCAAATGCAATATCCACAACGGACTCACGCACGCGAATGCGGATGCCACAGGAGTGGGTTTTTGGGTGGCTTACTGGTCCTACGGTGGAAATTTTCAACCTGGCCGGAAACGGAAAATGAGGTGTGCAAGTTTTGGCCAATTGTCTGCACTTTAGCTAGGGGGCAACATCGAAGACAAATGGGAACTGAAAATGTGTTGAACATTCGATAAGCTTGGCCAAGTTAATTATGCAGGCAATTGGGTTTGGCTTTGGAAGGAAATTGTTATGGGTGAGGTAAAATGATTAAAAATGTTTTTAATTGTAAATCGTCATAAATAAGTATTCTAAAGGATTCTAAAAAGAATCCACATCCTTTTAGATTTTATAAAACTTGATTAATGTATTTATTAATACCTATAGAAATGTTGAAGAAAATTTAAAAATCGGTCCATTCATTAAAAAGTTATGAGAAAATAATGGAATGCAGTTAATTTGCTGCTTGCATATCTCCAGCTCCCTCGCACTTTTTTTATGCTGTTTGCATATCTCCATTTCTCTTACACATATTTCGGTGAGTAACGGGTATTAGATAGTCGAAACACTCGGCTATAGCATTCTCTCTTGTTTTCTTTACTTTCACAAATTATTCTTGAACAAATGACAACCCTTTTTTAACATCGAGCACATTTTTCTTCACTGATTATGCACCTCTCCCGATCCTTTTAGCAATCCCAACCACTGTATCCCCTAGGCCCATCGAATTTATGCAAATACCCCCACAAACATCATTAGTTCCCCTAACAACCGCATAAATTTGAAACATAAAAAGCACCGAACAAAAGTCGTTATTCAATTGCGAGCTCACATAAATCTAGCCTGATATGATGTCTACACGTTTAAATGGCAATTTGGCGCACGATTTTTGCGAGACTAATTTTAGATTTGGATACCTTAGCGACAGACAAACTGCTTACCTGGAAAGATGGAAGTGGTTGCCTCGAAGGTGACATTGTGGTCATCCTGTCGGCTCTGGTTTTCGTGTCATAATCAGCACCGAACAGCACCTCAAACACCTGCCAGTCCTCCGGAGTATTGCCATTGGTCGTTGGTCGCGGATTTGTTGGCATTCCAATGGATTTTATCTGGGTAAGCCCGATCCGCCTTCGACTGGCGTTGGAAAATTTCTACACTCTATTTTCTAAGCGTAAATAATACACCCAGCCAGGCAACAAGCATGGACAAAGTTATGCGGCAACTTTCAGGTTGCCACGGCGCATAAAATAACTATGCATGAGGCTATATTAGTTCCCCGATTGGAAGGGGGTTTTCCCGGTGTGTTACTACGGCGACTAAACTGCACATAATTCGATTTTCTAAACTGCAATCGGCATGCGGGGGAGCCCACTCGCAATAGCCAAACTATAATTTCATTTGTCCCCGCCAAAATAATGAATATGGTAAATGTTTGCCTTAACTTCGAGCGGAAAACCCAATTCCCACTCACTCTCCCACCCAACAAACGCCCCCATTTTGCCTGCTCCTTTGACAGTGACTTTGAAGGCAACAACCCTTTGGGGGTTAAGTTCATGCATTACGGGATTTTGATTATTTTGTTTGGGTTGCCAACATAAATACATTTTGTCGAGTATTGATGAGCTTTAGAATTTCGTTGACTTCTTTTTGGGTTCATTTGGCTTGAAAACCCCCTCTATAGCCTCCACTGCCGCTTTTACGTCCATCGGTTTTACCTAGAAAAATTAAAGAAACTTGTTATTACTTGATATTTTAAGGTTTTGAATAATTTCTATTTGCATTAGTTTAATTAATGCCATTTTAAAACTCTGGTAACGTGTTTAAGATGGTATAAGTAACTGAAAACTCTATTATTTATTTTAGGAACCCTCACTTTAATCCAATAGATTTAACTCATAACTGTAAACCCACCTGTTGTTTCTGTCGAATTTTTTCCTCCGCAGCCATGAGCTCTTTCTCCTCGGCTATTCTTCGCCGGAACATTTCCTCCTGCTCCAAGTAGAACTTGTGGTCGTCCTTGACTTTCTGCAGAGCAAGTCTGTTTATCGTGCACAATAGCTCGGCGTTTTCCAGGTCATTATCCAGCTTGACCTGCCACTCCTTGCAACCTACTTTGAGCTTGTCGACCTCCCAGGCGTATATTATCTCCGAGTTGCGTTGCACCATTTGGTCCTGGCTCAGCTTGGTCTCCCAATCCTTCAGCTCCTTGGCCAGCATCTCCTCACGATCGCTCAGAAGCATGAGCCTTTGATCCATACAGCTGTTTACCCACTTTATCTGGTAACGCACCTCTATGGGATCAATAGCTGCGGGAAATAATGTCTGATAAATGATGACGTTTACAACTAGGAAATCCTCCACATACCGCTGGCATTTTCAAATTTTAACCTAAGCTCATTGTGACGGTCTTCTAGTTGGAGAACGCTAGATTCTTCGACTGGACTTTTACGGCTGAGCTTTTCCTTTACCAGGCGATTATCCTGGAGACCCTTTATCCAACCACCATCTGTAATGTACTTGCAATCACTGAAAATAATAGTTGTTGAACCTTAAATTGAATTCAGAAAATACACTCTCACCGTATAAACTGTATGCTGTTTTGGCAGAGGTCCTCATTCCGCTGAAAGTCCTCTCGGATGTCGTATATAATTTGTTCGATCTCGTTCAGATCAGTTCGGAACTTCAGACAGTCGAGATCTTCCCAGCTGCGCTCCCGATTGATCACGTCCAGGTACATCTGGTTGTGGTCCAGTCGCGCCAAGAAGTGATCCAACGACCAGCTGAACAGGCGGTAGGGCATCTCGTCCAGCTTTCCAGGCCAGGGACTCGAAAAGACACGCAGTTGCTTGAGCAGTCGCACCGATAGGAACTCAATGGCCGCCTTCTGGCATTGGAGATTCAGTTCCGCCATCATGTTTGACCGCAACTTAATGCTTTCCATGACCTCCTGCACGGTCTTTCTCGCGATTCCTCGCTGGCGTTGACTGGCCATCTGCCGCACCACCATAGCCTCAGCCCCCTTTTCGCTCTCCCGATACTCATCCTCCAGAGGATTTTCGATCACCGAAGAGTCCCGAGCTGTCGATCGCCTCAGCGGACTCACCCGGCGCTCGTGCTCCTCGATGATCGTACTGAGAAACTCATCACGGCACTTGGACGGATCGAGGTGGTCCGGCAAGGGAAACTTAATCTCAAGCGGATCGGACTCAAAGGTGGCTTCCTTCTTCTCCTTACCCTCATTTATTTCCATATTTTTTTTTCTTTTTATTTTTTTTTGATTCCAGTGGTTTTTGTGTATGTGTCACATTTTTAATAAAATTTGGCTCCTATGCTTGTATGTTTTTTGATTTTTGTTAGTTAATAAACGAATAAAAGTAGAAAGTCATGTTGAACAAGCTTTTTAATTTTCACTTTGGTAAATTGCAAACGTAAATATTCTTGTACATAAGTAAAATTATTAATATCGCTGAACACACTATTGCACTTTAGAATTTCTTGATTTTTTTTCCGACTTTCTTTCAGATGTCCTCACAGATTTTCGTTCATATTTTCTCTCAGACTTTCTCTCGGGAATTATTTCAGGATTTATATGAGTCTTTATCTCAGACCTTTTCACAGACCTTCTCGACAATCGCTTTTCGTTAGAGGTAATTTCCTATAGTAATTGTGAACTAGTAGTCACTGTTATTAGAAAATGATCTGTAGAAACTTACTCCACGGGTTATCGCCTCCTGGGCCATGAGAGCTCGCACCTCTTCCAATCGCCTCAGATAGGTGTCCTTCTCTTCCGTGTAGAACTTTAGATCGTCCTTTAACTTTTGCACTGCAAGCCTTGATACTGTGCAAAGGACGTCAGCGTTCTCGAGATCGTTGTCTAGTCGATCATTCCAAGTCGTAATACTTTCCCTGAGCTTTCCCAACTCCAATGAGTACATGAGTTCGGAGGAATACTGCACCGATTCGTCCTGCTTCGCTTGTTCCTCCAATTTTCTCAGTTCCTCCCTCATCGCCTCCTCCCGTCCGTTTATCAGCATCAGACGCTGATCCGCACAACTCCTAATCCAGTTGATTTGATAACGCATCTCGATGGGATCCAAAGCTGCGGGCAGAGGTTCGGCTAGACAGCATATGGGAATCTAGTAGCCTCACTCACCCGATGCATTCTCAAAGTCACCCATGACGGTTGTTTGACGAAAAACCATCCTAAAAGAGCTACTTCGCGCCAATAACAATGCGGTCAACTTATTGTCTTGAATGTCTTTGAGATTTTCATTGAGTTTTTTCACCCACGGTGCATTCATATTGTATGCGGCGCTCCTATAAAGAAAAGGAACGGGAAATGTTACTATAATATTAAGAAAAAAAAGATCAAAAATACTAGCCTCAACAATTCGATGCTGTTTTCGCAGAGATCTCTATCTTGACTATAATCCTCTCGGATTTCGTATATTAGGAGTTCAATCTCGCTGAGATCCCGGCAGAACTTGACGCAATCCAGATCCTCGGCACTTCGCTCCCGATTGATGACGTCGAGGTAGAGCTGCTTCATCTCCAGGCGCATCAGGAAGTCATCCAAGGACCAGCTGAAGAGGTTGTAGGGGATCCCCTCCTGCTCCCCCGGCCAGGGACCCGAGAAGAGGCGCAATTGCTTTAGGAGACGCACCGATACAAACTCGATGGCCGCCTTCTGGCATTGGCGATACAGTTCGGACATCATGTTTGACCGCAACTTAATGCTTTCCATGACCTGCTGAACTGTCCTCCTTGTGGTCTCTTTCTGGCGTAGCCTGGCCATCTGCCGCACCACCATAGCCTCTGCCCCCTTCACACTCTCCCGATACTCATCCTCCAGAGGATTTTCGATCACCGACGAGTCCCTAGCTGTTGATCGCCTCAGCGGACTCACCCGGCGCTCGTGCTCCTCGATGATCGTACTGAGGAACTCATCACGGCACTTGGACGGATCGAGGTGCTCAGGCAACGGGAAACCTATCTCAAACGGATCGGGTGCAAATTTTGTTTCTTTCTGCTCTTTAGCCTCATTCATTATGGTTTGGTTTTTAATGGAACCTTTTATGATTTTTTTGTTTTAGATATTTTTTTGTTTTTTTTTTAGGCTTTTGTCTTGATTTTACTTGGTGTTTTTGGGTTTTGGTACTATTTGTAAATGTGTCATATTTGTAGTAACACTCCTGCATGCTTTGTACTTTTTTTTTTTACATCCACCCAACCCCTAAGAAATTATATATTACTTAAACAAGTATTTTAATGTTCCGTTTGATAAATTACAAGCATATCTAAGTAAAATGGTCCAAATCGAAGAATATACTATTGCACTTTAGATTTTCTTAATTTCCTTTTAGGCTTCTTTTCAGATTTCCTCTCAGAAATTTTGTTAGACTTAGTCCCTGGGTTTATCTCAGATTTCCTTGTAGACCTCCTTGACAATCGATTAGCGGCAAATTCCTAGTGTTTTTGTCATCTAGTAAAGATTTGAAAACCAGAATTTTTTAAGAGCACTTACCTCCTGGGCTATGAGAGCTTGCACCTCGTCCAATCTCGTTAGATACATTTCCTTCTGTTCCATGTAGAACTTCAGATCGTCGTTTACCTTTTGCACAGCGAGCTTTGTTACGGTGCAAAGTACGTCGGCGTTCTCCAGATCGGTGTCAAGTCGATCCTGCCACATCTTAATGCTTTCTCTAAGCTTTCCCAACTCCAACGAGTACATAAGCTCGCATGAATGCTGCACAGATTCGTCCTGCAAAGCTTGTTCTTCCATTTCCCTCAGTTCGTCCCTCATCGACTCCTCTTTTCCATTCAAGCGTAGCAAACGCTGATCCGTAGAGCTCCTTATCCAGTTGATTTGATAACGCATCTCGATGGGATCCAAAGCTAAGTGCGGAAAATATATGATGACAAATGACGATCTAATAACCCCACTCACCTGATGCATTCTCGAAGTCACCCATTACGGATCTGTGACGAAAATCCATCTTAAAGGCGCTAGATCGTTGAAAAGTCGATACTCCTCTTGTGTGGTCTTCCATGCCTTGAAGATTCCACTTGAGGGTCTTGACCCATGGCGCATGTATGGTGTACTGTGCATTCCTGAAAATTATATGTTATCTATTCAATTTAAGATCACTCATGATTTATAATGAATGAAGTAATTAATGAAAATCAAGTTACCTTAACAATTGGATGCTGTTTTGGCAGAGATCTTTATCGTCGCGGTAATTCTGTCGGATTTCGTATATTAGGAGTTCGATTTCGCTAAGATCCCTGCAGAACTTTGCGCAGTCGAGATCCTCGGAACTTCGCTCCCGATGGAGGACGTCGAGGTAGATCTGCTTCATCTGCAGGCGCATCAGGAAGTCATTCAACGACCAACTGAACAAGTTGTGGGGCACCCCCTCCCGTTCTCCCGGCCAGGGATTCGAAAAGAGGCGCAATTGCTTCAGCAGACGCACCGATAGGAACTCGATGGCCGCCTTCTGGCATTGGTAGTTCAGTTCGGCCAATAGGGTCGATCTCATTCGAATGCTAGCCATGACTTCCTCGACCGTCTTCCTCGTCGTCCCTGCCTGGCGTTGCTTGGCCAGCTGCAGCACTACCATGGCCTCGGCCCCTTTTGGGTTCCCAGGATCCGTGGCCTCCAGAACTCCAGGAATCGAAGCGACGCGGACTGTCGATCTGGGCCTTAGGGACTCCGCCCTGGCTTCGTGCTTCCTTATAAAGGAGCTGAGGAACTCGTCTCGGCACATCGACGGGTCTTTGTGCTCCGGCAAGGGAAAGGGAATCATCCAAGGGTCTGAGTCTGATAGGACTTCCCTAATACCATCCTGATTGACCTCTTCGTCTATTTTTGTCTTTTTATGGGACATTTTACTGTGTTTTATTTTTTGTTTATTTTAGCTATATTTTGAAGTCTTTATTGTGGGTATCTTTTTATATTCTATATATATTTTATTTTATTTTACATTCTATTATATTTTATTTTATTTTACATTCTATATATATTTTATTTTTTAAGTATACTATTTAATGGTGTTGGGTAAAAAATAAATAATCAGTCTGGACGAAAGTTCAAGTCCAGTCCAGATTAAAGTAAAACAATAAAATTTAAAAAATTTGAAGTCAAATAAATTTCAGTTTTAATTTTTTCTTTATTTTGAATTTTAGAAAGTGTATTTATTTAGTCGAATATATAATACTTTTTCGTCATAAAAGTTGATATCAGAACTTGTGTATGTTAAAGGTGCGATCGTCACGCCCTTTTTACCTCGATTAGAGGTATTTTTGTTTGATTTAGATTAAGAATAATGTGGTAATAGTAAGGTAATCAAAAGAATGACACATTTTATTTCAGTTTTAGAACTATTTAATGGAGGTCTTATAACCTCCATTATAAATGTAGGTACTTTTATTGTTTTGTAGACCCTTGAATATTAAATATTCTATTCTTTTGCCTATTTCCCCTGCAACTAATTCAATTATTAGTTTATCACATTTTGCAGAAAACTTTGCGTTGTTTTTAAAGACTTCTAAGAAACATTGATAATTTTAAAATCTCCCGCCATCTAGTGTTGTCAAACGCAGTGAAGCAGTGTAAATAAAGGAACAGCTGATGGTCGGTGGAAAGAAGCAGCAACAGTTGCCATTCCCATGTCGACGTGCCTGCACATTGCTTTGAATTGTGTTTTTGAATGTGTTCGTTTGTTATTTTTTACTCATTGTTGTTCAAGTGTTTTACTATTGTTTTTATCAAAGTTAGTTGCTAAGTTTGTCCTTTACATAAGCCAACTTGAAGGTGAGGTAGTGCCATTACAAAAGGGCCTAAAACTAATCGTTTTTACGCCTGGTCAGTTTTCAGCCGCTTCGCTTTAAGTCACTCAGTTTAGTTGAACTTTTTGTCCGATCCAGAGACACAGGTGCATTGCCGAGCACAGGTAAATATAAGCTGGGTTTTATTATATTTTGTGTATTCGGCGGCTTGTTTATGTGCTTGATTAGCAGTCAGCTGTGCATATTTGCGTGTCTCACATGCACAATATATTTGGCTTTTAATTACCCCCAACTGAGTGTGTGTGTCTGTGAGCGGGGAGCTCCCGTATCTGTGTGTGTGAGCCCAGAAAATCGTAGTTACGTACATCGTTGCGTATGAGCAATAAACTGCAATTGAGTCAAGGTCAACTATTGGCTTTCGATTGGCTAACTTTGAGAATTATTTGCTTCAACTAACATCTCCACTTTTCTCCATTCCAATGTATTTATTTCTTCACTAATCTCTGCTAATCTTCCGTTGGTTCTTCAAAACATTCCGTTGACAATCGAATTTATGACCTGAACTTTATTTGCTTTTCTGCCTAACCCATATTCGTTTTTGTAATCCCCGCGATCTGTACGATTTATATGCCTTTATAATTGATGTGCCTTCAACTGGAGCGTTAACCAAAACCGATCACGACAACCAGTTTACTTTTCCACGGTTGGCCAACCACTGTCTCCTATGAAACCCATGATAAGACCCGAAAAATGTTGAAAATACAGCCTGTCCGCTGCACCACCGAAGTCACAATCAAAATGCAAACATACCTGGCTTTAACAAATTAAGCAAATAGCCAAGCTAACGCTGCAAGTGGCGACAGAGGCTCACACACTCGCCTACACGAAATAAAACTCACGAGACAGAATCTTACGCAGATACAGTCAAAACTCGTAAAAGAGTTAAATAAAAAATCTTTTATTTAAAATTTTTTTTAAATATCTAAATTACACTCTTAAAACTTCAATTCGATCTTTAAAAGTCTTTAAAAGTTATTTCCGCGTTTTTCCAAGCTACGGATTTTGGGCCAAAAACCCTATAAACCCTATTAAAATTTTACAAATAGTTTTTAATGAAGAGGTTATTAAAAACTATTTGTAAAATTGTAATACCATTATTATTTTTATTTATCGTATCACAATTAGTAATACATATTTCCGAAACGTATTCATTTAAAAACTTTTAAGAAAATAATAATAATAAATTGCCTTATCTTGAAACGCAAATATTTATTTTTGTATTTGTAAAATTCGAAAAGTTTTAAAAGTCCTTAACTTAAAAAACTCTTAAGTATAAAGGACGTTTAAAAGTATAGGTCAAAGAAATATAACTTCTAATTATTTCTAAAATATTAGAAACAAAATCGTATTCTGGTAATGTTAAATGTTAAATTGTTCAAATGAGCGATACTTGACTGTGCTCGAACGCACACAGACTGGCGAATAAGATATGGAGAAGACGTCGACGAACTCGTTTCAATTGAGACTTAAACTGAAACACAATTCATTTCGCTGGAGAACGCGCAACCGAAAACATTTTCCACCTCTGCTCTTATTATTCGCCTTCTAATTGATATTTGTTTACTTACGGTTTCTTGGCCTTTGATCTTTTGCGTCTCCGATAGAGCCCCAAAAATAAAATGGAGCAGTGGAACAATGTGGAGCTGACGAATATGTCCAAAAAGTCGTACACTCTGAATCACGCGTACGATGCAGCCGAGAAGTTGAACAAGGAAAACAATCCGACGTCCTCGAATGGAAATGGAACCAGTTCGGAGAACCCAGCTGTGGAAGGAGATCTTCTCAAGCCCGGATCGGATGTGCGTCCAAAAGTGGAGCCCGATGATGTGGAGAGCCTGCTGCGACGACTCTATGGGATCACGATAAGCGAGGTTAAGGAAATTATCGCCTACGATGATCGCAACTTCTTCGTAAAGGAGGATAGGTAAGCAAAACGAAGGGAGTATCTCGTTGACACCATTATTCAAGACATCACTACATCCGGAGACACTAGATAGTCTGAAAATACAATTGCAGTCAGAGCAATAGCACAAAGATCAAACAATTATAATTAAATCAAAATATTTGTTGAAGGATTTTACACGGAATTGTTCTAGATTCAACATAAAAAGATCACGAAATTTAGCATTTCATACTTCTTTTTATAAAAAATATTCTGAACTTGTTCCCTGTGCTGTTAATCACAAAGATCAAACAATTTTAAATTATATCAAGATATTTGTTGAATGATTTTACACGGAATTGTTCAAGATTCTACACACAAATACTACAAATTTTAACATTTGATATTTCTTTTTATAAAAAATATTCTGGACTTGTTCCCTGTGTTGTTAATCACAAAGATCAAACAATTTTAAATTATATCAAGATATTTGTTGAATGATTTTACACGGAATTGTTCAAGATTCTACACACAAATACTACAAATTTTAGCATTTGATATTTATTTTTATAAAAAATATTCAGAACTTGTTCCCTGGGCTGTTAATCACAAAGATCAAAACATTTTAAAGTAAATCAAGATATTTGTTGAATGATTTTACAAGGAATTGTTCAAGATTCAACAAACAAATATTACAAATTTTAAGATTTGATAATTATTTTTATAAAAAATATTCTGAACTTGTTCCCCGTGCTGTCAATCTGACCGCAATTTTAGCTGCAGTTCCAAGCACGACTGTGCAACACAAAAACAAATGATAATTCGCCGGAGAAATGCGGCGGGGTATAGCATCTATTTATACCCCGTTTAATTAAAGTTGTTAGTCGCGGCAGTTGAGTGTGACGCAGTCGACAGTCACCTTGCCAGCATCGCAATTGTTATCTTGATTCACGGCATTCAGCACTGATGTAGTCAGTTGAGGTCTTCACTTTAATAAATTAGATTAATCTAAAGAACAAAAAAGCTTACAACCTAGAAATAGCAATCTATTTAAGCACAGGTCTCTTCTGGAAGCCAAACATACTAAGCTTGGTTTGATTTTGATCCACGGGTCCCAGTTTGCCGTTTGTCTTCGATTTGGGAGTTCCCTTTTTGGCAGTGGCGGGTTTGCTCAGTCCTATTCTTCGTTTTCCAGCTGGCAGTGAGTTCTGGCGTTGAAAGTTAGACGTTGAGATGGACGACGCTGTTTGCTCTGAACTACAGCTGTCATCGGATAGCAAAATTATGGCTTCGTTGTTGTTCCCGTCGGAATCGCTGGGTGTTTGGCTGTTATCCACTAGTAGGTCCAAGGATTTAATGCGTATTTTTGTTGGTGTTTGTGGTTCAGATTTGGCGGAATCTTCTCGAGATTCTAGCGACGAAGGAATGGAACTTTCTTGTGATTCCAATAGGCAAGAGGCAGTGGTTTCTGTATCTGTTTCAAGCTCACTAGTTAGCGAGCTAGAACGTCGTCTTTCTTGTTGCTCTCCTGGAATGTCTCCCTTTGCTAGTCTTAATTTTTTATGGCTCGAGCTTGAGCCCAGCTCCTGCTCGTCGTTGTCATCCTTTTGTTGATCTTTCGGCTGCTCGTTTTGAAGCCTTGCCTGTTCATCCTGTGAGGCAAAAAATCGACTTCGCACCTGCACTTGTTCCTTGGCAAAAATGCTTCTTTTCAGGGAAGCTATTCTCTTATCATCGGCTCCTCCGCTTGAGGGACTCGGCTTCTTGGGGCTGAGCAAACGCAGCAAGGAGGCATTCTCACAAACCACCGGGGATCGCTGGGTGGCTTCTTCTGCAGTCTTTTCCCTGGCAAAGGGATTGTGGCGACTCTTTAGCACTGGCGACGGTGGGGGTGTGCGTTCTCGGTCCAAAGATTCATCCCTGCTCGGACTTCTTCTCCTTTTCGATCTAAAACTATACATGTTGAACACCTGGGCCTCTGTGTGCTTCGCCTTTTCCAATCGCTGATTAGCCTCGATCTCCTCGTCGACGGTTTTGCTCACAAAATCTACCTTCTTGAAGAACAAGGCACAAGGATTCTCTTTCTTCGGCGTCGGCAGGTTCTCCTTTTGGAAATTCGTCTGCCAAATGCTCTTGTGCTTGGAGCGTTTTACATTCTTTGGCGTTGGCCATGCCTTCTCCGGTGTCCAAGAGTCCAAACGCTTGAGAGAGAAGGGATTCAAGTTGCCCAGGGCCAAGTGCAAGGCCTGATCGCTGTCGTCCAGCAAGGTGCCAGCATTGCTGCAGTAGCGCTCATCGGTGCCATAGTCTTCCAGGGCACAAAGGCGCTGCATGCGACGCTCCAGGGGATTGTAGATGAACATGTGCTTGAAGGTGGCCTCCGCCTTGAGGAAGTTCTCAATGTAGTCGTCTTCTACCTGTGGGGAATGCTTTCTAAATTACTAAATTCAAGAGCTGATTGGAAACGTACCTCCAGATTGCGCATATTGAGATAACTGGGAATCTTCTTCAGCGCCAGTCGCATGTCCTCCTGTTCCGTCTTCAGTATAAACTTGCAGGCCTTGGCCAATCCTATGCCAGGCAGTGAGTCCAGGTAATCACAGCCGGATAGAATACACATGCGGCGGAACTTGTCGAAGTGATACTTCTCCTCCTTGCAGCCCATGGCCAGGTGAAGCTTATCTGCCTCCACGAGGAGCCCACTGCCATTGAGGTCCAGCTTGAAGATGATTTTCTTGGCCCCGAAGAGCGTTAGATCCGAGTCCTCGGTGATGATGTACTGGGCCACATCGGTCTTGTTCAGCCAGGCCATTTGGGCATCCGCCTCGTAGGGCGCCACAATGCAGTCGACATTCCGGCTGCGGCATTCCCGGATCAGCCGCAGGGCCATGTCATGGGTGACGTCCACGCAGCGGCGCATGTGGGATCGCGCCTCCTCGATGCGTCCCAATCGGAGGAGCTCCGCCGCCCGCTCCTTGCTCTGCTTCCTGGAGTCCCTCCGCCGCTTCTCGGTCAACGCCTTGGCCGGCAAGTGCTGGCCATCGAACACCAGGATGGGCTTTATGTCGTAGGATAGCAGCATATTCACATACTTCAGGCAGTATTGGACGTAAATGTCCGTTTCCTCGCCACGAGCCAACTTCTCCGCGCAGCCGAAGACTCCCTTGTGCAGCCAGCAATAGGTGTCCACGGCCACGGTGCTGCCGCGAATGTCCTTCAGCTGCAATTGCGAGGAGGCCTTGCCCACGAAGGGTATCAAACCGGTGATGCCCATGGTTTGGGCTAACAATAATAACACAATAAACACAAAAACAATCAATAAAATCACAGGTTTTAGCGCCAAAATGCATGGCCAATGAAATAGTGTGGCCAAAGTGAGCAACTAAAAAACGCCAAATTGCCATTCTCACGGAGGGTGTTTCATTTCACAACACTGAAATTAAGCCAATTAAATATTAAGTATTAACCGTTAAAATTAATCAAACGGATATTTAAAAATATTTATCTATTTTTACCATACATTACAGCAATGTAAAGAACCCTCTTATTGTAACTCATTGTCCACACGGCTACGTCCTCAAGATCCTGAACTCATTGGACTCCAAGAAAGAGGACTTTGTGGATGGCCAAAATCAACTGCTGCTTTATTTGGGTAACTATGGTCATCTTACCAATTTGAAATTCCACTAATATCTTCTTTAACTAGGAAAGCACAGTGTAAAGTGCCCCCGGCCGATAGCCAATGCCACTGGAAAGTATTACTCGGTGGAGCGACTAAATGGGAATTCGAATGTGGTGCGGCTGTTGGAATTTATACCTGGGGAAATTTTCCACCAGGTGCCGATAACGAAGCATTTGCTTTACCGCAGTGGCGAGTACTTGGCCAGATTGGATCGGGCCCTGAAGAATTTTACCCACCAGGCCTACGAATCGCACAAGACCCTGTGGATGCTGCAGAGTGTTCCGGAACTGAGGAAATTTCTGTACGTGGTAAAGGATCAGGAACACCGGCTTATCTGCGAAGAAGTCATCGATGCCTTCGAATCGAAGGTTCTGAGTATATTGCCCACCCTAGAGCAACAGATCATTCACGGGGATTTCAACGAACAGAATATAGTTGTGGAACAGGCCCCCAATCAGACCGAGTATACGATCAATGGGGTTATTGATTTCGGGGATACGAGCAAATCACCGCTGATTTTCGAGGTCGGAATCGCCCTCACCTACATGATCCTGCAGGCCAACGATTTGGCGAATGGAGGAATCTTTTTGGCCGGTTACACCAGTGGCAATCCCATCGAGAGTTCCGAGCTGGCTCACCTTAAATATTGCGTGGCTGCCCGACTGGTTCAGAGCCTGGTAATGGGTCTCTACACCCACACGCTGCATCCCACGAACGACTACCTGCTGGTGACCCAGGAACAGGGATGGAAACTGCTCCAGAAGCTGTGGCGCGAGAGCCTGGAGGATGTGGATGAGCTGTGGGCGACCACCGGACATCAGTACTTGACGCAGAGCAATAAATAATGTAGAACCTAGCTGTCCTTTTCCGGTTTTAAAAGAGATATTTTAACGGATTGAGCTGTTCTGGTTATAAAATAAATTTACATATGTTATATTTCTCCATAAGTATTAGTCAATGTCAGAATTTGTCACAGCCAATATAAAATATGATTATACATGTGCAATGAAATTTCAACCAATTAGATTTAGGTAAAATGGATATTTTCCGTATAAAATGGCAACTATGAAAACCAGAAAAGCCGGAAGGGACTGATAACTAGCGATTCTAATCCCCTATGTCAATTATTAGGATTTCACGAACATATCACCTGTGCAAAATAAGTTGCAAGTCCAAGTATTGATTGCATTTTGTTGCTTTACAATTTACTTTATCCGGTATATTATTATCATTATCTTTACAATAAAACTTGTTAAACAAATACAAATACATTGTATGTAGTACATTTATTCTTAGAGTAGGTGTGTGTTTGTTTTCGGCTCTACAGTGGTGGCAATTAATTTCGAATTGATTTTCAGTTGAAGCTTCAGTAAATTGAACTAATTAACGCTAATTACATTGAATGGTGTAAAAAGGGTGTTGAACTCTCCTCCTCCTGGACAATGTACAATGTATCATATTCTTTTTGTTACTTTATAATTATCTCTCTATGCGTTTGGGATACCCGTGTCTACTTAACGCTATATTACATATAACCGACTTAACACCTACTGAAATGAACAAAAGCCGCCACTCGAAGGCGAGCTGGGGATTTGATTTCCACCGGACGTTGGCAGGCTCCTTATCAGTGCGACAGAAAGTCAAACAGAAGACGTGCTAAAGGAAAATATATTGCGCCTGTGAGGCCAAAAATGTTTACAGCTTGGGATTCAGGTTTATATTTATTTTTCAAATCTTGTTTGTGTTTCTCGACGGTTTTTGTTTTTGTTTTTTTGGTAAACATGAAACAAGTTATTAGAAGTTAATAAAATAAAACAATGCGTAAAATGTAAAATTAGATGACTCTAAGCAGACAACAACTCGCACACAATTTTTACACACAATCAAACCCTCAAAAAAAAAAATGACAAAAATTATCAGAGATATACCTGAGTAACTCTTCGCAACACACTCGTTGTCCACATTAGAGCATCATCATGATATAACATAGTATAAATAAAGAAAAAAAAAGGGTAATACAAGCTAGGAAAAAAAATATTTAAAAATAGAAGTCTACGAATTTCATTTGTTTCGCCAAGAAAAAAGCCCATTGAACATTATATCCTTTCTGTTTCTTTATCACTTCAGTGCGGGCGATCTTAAAGGGGATAAAGCTGAGATGTATTATCCGATCTAACTTAGCGAGTGGATTAGATTAAATGTTTGGTGAGACTAAGTAAAGTTTCGTAAATTAGAAACAAGCTAGAGTGAAACTCTGTCGAATTTCAATGGATTGCAAAAGGTTAACTAAAACTAATCGTTTCCAGACCAGATTACAAATTTGAAAATATCTTAGCTGCATTTAACAAAGATTCGAATCTTGTATTTTCGTGAAATAAAAACATTATCAATTCAATTGAAATAATACAGCTCGAATTACTTGCCTTTGATATTAACTTACAAAATTTCGAACGATTAAAATTGATAGATTGATTGAACAACAATAATTTTCAAAATGTTCCAGAAGTCATCTTTCCGCTTATTTTATTATACTAATAAACACGGACAGCTCTTTGGAACCATATGTACAATGAACTTTGTCTGATCTGGATTACTTGACATCTTGACGATCTCTGGGATTCGTTACTGTTAACTCTGGTGCTTTCACTTTACGCTTAGGAAATAATTAAAAATTAGTAAATGAAAAACATCAGCAACGTCTTCCGCTTAAACGCCAGCTCAGCTTCCGTAGCAGATCCTCCAGGAGCGGCTGACTCCTGGCTAACGATTCTTCTGGCGCTTGCGTCGCTTGGGAAACACGTAGGAGGAGTGGTTTTCCTGATGCCTCGCCTCGGCGGCCGTCGTGGGCAGCTTTTTGCTGGCCAACGTGGCCACCGGCTCAGCCAGTGCCTTCGACCTGGCGATGGAGGTTGGCGCTTCGACGGCATCCACCCAGGCGACGCCGAAATCATCACGCGCCTCCATGTTGACCATATTCTCACCGAACGCCTGAACCGTCACCTCGGTGACAATTTGCACGCCCTCGATGTCCTCGGGCAGCGGGTAGAAGGTGGACGTTGGCAGCGGATCCAGCGTAACCAACACCTCGTCCTGGTTGCGACGATTCCGCAGCCCCTCGAGCCGCAGCTGCTCCTTCATGTAGCGTGCATCCCGGCACTTGCGATCAATCTCATCCTTTACATACTTCTGATGCCGCCGCTCGAAGACAGCATCGTCCAGTGGCTCTGTACCGCTCTTATCTTCGCTGGGCATCACAGGGACATCCTTCCACTTGGGTATCTCCAGGCTGGGATTATCGGCCAGCAGCTCGTCGGCCTCTTCCAGGAAGAACTCGTTGTCACAGTGAATGTCCTGATCCTCCCACGTTCTTGTGGAGTACGGAAAAGTGGCGGTGCGGAACCTGGACTTGGATTTTCCCGATCTCGCCGTTGCCCTGCTGTACGTGTGGGGTGAACAGTTGTTGTTTAGGGTTTTCCGCGTTGTCGAAGCGCTACTGCTGACACTGCTATTGGATTGCGGTGTCAGAGGAGTGGCTATTTGTTGTTCAGCTGCCTTGGACTTCGATTTCGATGCAGACGTTTCCGTTTCCATTGAGGATGTAGGCGTTGGTGTCGTCGACGGCGTGGGCGCTGGAGTTATTGTGGTGGAGGATAATGGCGCACTGGGTGGTGGATAGATTAGATTTGTGACTGTTCTCTCCCTAATCGTTGTTGTTGCTGTCGTTTTCTTAAGCGCAATCTGGTTGAGCTGACTCTGGCTAAGTAGCTCCTTTCGCAAATGTTCATGCAGTTTGCGTTTCACGGCCTCCACTTGTTCCAAGTCCTGATCTTCGGGCTGAGACCTTTCCGGAGCAGTCCTTTTATCATTGACAGTCGCCTGTTTTGCGATCTTAGTTTCGGGCCCTGCGGCTGGATCGCTGTTCTTGTGTTTTCGTGGATCGAGCGGGGTGGAGGAGTTGGTTTTATTGCCGGAGAACATCTCATGCTGTCTGAGATTAACCTGCAACCGCTTCTTTTTCACCGGCTCTGTTTGTGTCTTGGTGGACTGATGGTTGGCTACAGGTTTATGAGCACTAGAAGAAGCGTTGTTTGCCTTCGGCAACTTGGTTTCTGCAATAGATGGACTCGGGACAGCAGCTACCTTGGGTACTGCCGCTTTTACCGCCTGCTTAGGTGAATCCTGTGGTTGCGTTTTAGGTGCATCTGCTTGCTCCTTCAGTACATCCTCCGCCTGTTCCATGCGTTGCTTTTTAGGTGCTTCTATTTGCTCCTTGAGTGCATCCTCCGCCGGTTCCATGCGTACATCGTCCTCGGTTGGTTCTTGCTTCTTTATTGCTTTGTGATCTTCCGTGGCTCCATCATGATGATGCCTCTGTGGTTCCTTAGGTTTTTCCGTCAACTCTGCGCCTTTTTCCGGAACCTTTTCCTTTTGTTTAGCTGCCGCTTCCTCTGCCAACTCCACGCCTTTCTCCTGATCATTTTCCTTCTCTTTGTTGGCCGCTCCAAACAGATGGCTCTGCGGCTCTTTACGTATTTCGGCCATCCCCACGACCTTTTCGTGATCCTTCTCCTTCTGTTTGATTGCCGCTTCATCCTTGCGTATTTCCGCCAGCTGCACGACTTTTTCCTGAGCCGTCTCCTTTTCTTTGAGTGCCGATTCCTTCAGGAATTGCAAGGTCTTAAGAGCAAGATTAGCTTCTTCGACTCGGTCCACCTCCATTTGGTCAGCGGCCTCTATTTTCTGATCCACTTTTGTTTCAGGCTCTTCATGCAGCCGCTTTTCAGGCTTCCATTCCTGGAGCGGCTCCTTTCTAACCTCCGCCTGTGGCAGATACTTCTGCTGATGATTGGGAGTTGAGTGGGCCGAAGGCGCCACCGCCTTCTCCGCCGTCGTGTCCAACTCCATGGAGTTTATCTGCAAATGAATGAGTTTGCTTGACATGATCTTTTCATTGATGAATCTCACCAAACTCACCTGGTTCGGCCAGAGATCGTCCTCGTTTCGAAAGTGTACGTCCGTCTCGCTATCCACCGACTGATCGTCCTCGTCTTCGTCGTCCTCTTCACTGTTTTCGTTTTCCTCGTCCTGATCTTCTTCATCCTCCTCCTCCTCCATATGGCCGTTGGCATCCACAGCATGTGTTTGCTCCTCCAACTCAACCAGCTCCTCGGTGACCACCTCCACATCGAAGGTTTCCAAGGCATCGTGGAAGATATCGCCGCCGACGACCTCTTCAGCTTGGACTTCCTGCATCTGCAACTGAACCTCCTCCAGCTGCAGCTGCTCCTCGTGCGCCTGTTCCTCCACCTGGGTTTGCTCCTCGTGGATGTGATGCTTGGAGTCCTGGTTCATGCGCTGCAGGATGAAGGTGCTCACTTTCTTGCCATTGAACTCGCCGCGGCCTTTGCTCTCGGAGCGCTTGCCGCTTGGGAGATTGGCTACCGCTGCAACTAGATGGGGCACAGGGGGAAGCTCCTCCACACTCAGAATCCTGGGCTGCACCTCAGCCAGTTGTGGCTCCATCGCCTCCATTGTCTGGGTGCACTGTTCCCGCTCCCTGATCACAGTTTGCGTCTCTGCATGGCAGCGGATGATTTTCTGTTGCGGAACAGCTGGTGGCAGTGCGTGATCATCGTCATCATCATCATCATCGTCGTGCCGCCGCTGGTTCTTTCTTCGCAGTTGCTTGCGCAGCTCCTCGTTGGCGGCCTCCAGCTGTTGGACCGCCTGCTTCAGTTCCTGATTCTGCGCCATCACCATGCCCATCTTGGCGCTCTGCTCGTCGAGTTCCTTCTCCTTGGCCGTCAGACTGTCCGTCTGCTCCTGCAGCAGCTTCAAGTGGAGCACAATCATGCGCTTCAGGTTGTTGTTCTCCACGATTACGGTGACCACATCGGCGGTGGCACCCACTGATCCGCCGGACGAAGGAGGCGGCGGCGGCATGGCCCCGCCCCCCATCTGCTCCATCTGCGCTTGCATGGGAGGCGGGGGCGGCGGCAGCGGCTTGCGGTAGCCCTTGTAGCCGTAGTGCTGGCGCGCGTTTCTCTTGCCGGGATGCTGATTGGGATGGCCCAGCTGATGGGGATGCGGATGCAGCGAAGGCTGCATAGGATGACCCGCCGGATGCCGCGGGTAGCCACCACGCGACGGATTGTGGTGATAGGGCGCCTCCGAGTGGTTGGCCCGCTGCTTGAGCGGCCACTTGAACCGCTTGTCCATGGCGGTCGTCGAATTGAATCGCTTGCAGCAGTCGGTACTACGATCTCATTGCTGGCCAAGCAAATTTGTTTTGTTTTGGTTTCGCTTGGGGGGCACACACAATCTTCGGCAGCTGATACGCCGTACAATGCGTAGAATCCCGATTCCGATTCCGATTCCCACCACACTTAATTTTCTCTGCAGCGCCCTCGCAAAAGAACCGCTCTTTTTTCGCCCAGGAACGGATGGTTTTTAGCGTTTTGACTGTGGCGCTGTTATCGCACGTGGTGACCACATTTAGGCAGCTATTTTTGGGTTCGTGTTTGCACGTTCTTTTACCGCTTTTTCCACAATTATCCGCAAAATGTAAACTCGCCCCGAAAAATGCTCTTGGAAGTATGGCGTTTTTGGTGGCGTTGCCAGGCCTCGTCTGCAGGGTTGCTTTGGGCCCTAGAGGTGGGAGTTGGTCGTGAAGCGCACGAAAATCACGATGTGCCTATGGTAGTTCGTTTTTCACGAAACTGTACTCATTTATAGCGAATATTTGCCAAAATCTAAACTATAGTTACAGTTATTGGGTAAAACTGATTTAAAAATATATTAAACAGAGATACTAAAGTACGATACGGAGGCAAATCTTTACCCTTAAAAACTTAATAGCATAAAAATATTGTTTTATTAAATATTTTATGATAAATGTATGTATGGCCCTTTTGCTTTAAAGTTAAAAACTAAGAATAATATGATTTATATATTTATAATATAATTTTTTTAACCCCTTATTTGTTTTTTTACATATTAAAATTACATAAAAACAAAACCAACATTTCTTTCGGGCTTGGCTTGTTCCGTGCCTGGAAAATATGTCACGCTCCCATCTCTATTGGCTGCTTGCCACCAATGCAAAAGCCGGGTGCTTGTATAAAACCATTTATACGCCACCCACTCATGAAAATTAGTCCAAACTAAACGAAATAATCTCTTAAATTACACAAATAGTTATGTAATGGGAAAACTAAAAGAACAAAGAGCCATTCAGTTGGCAGCCCTGTAACTTATGCAAGCGTTGCCTGTGAATGCCAGACGGTGAAGAAGAAGAAAATGGCGGCAAAATTTTGTTAGATTTCTTTGTTGTGGTTTAGTTTTGACTGCCCCTTGATTTACAACTAAGTCCTTTATGGCGTCCCTGTTCGGCGACGATGGCGTGGATGACCTGTTCAATGACAATATCCCAAGGGACCCGGATCAGTTGCCCAGCGATGGCGAAGACGAGAAACTGTTCGCAGACGATGAGGAATATGCCGGAGACGGAGAGCCGGGTAGCCAAGATGCCCAGAAAGTGGAGCCCAAGAAGCGGGCGGTGAGGAATCCGCGTCCCCGGCTTACAGTGGAAACCCTTCGCGGTCCCCGGGGAATCCAGACCATCGAGGGCTACTTCAAGGACATAAAATTCAAGGGAAAGGGGCACGAAAAAACCGATCTGGACGAGGTGTTGCGTCGCCTGCAGCACTGGGGTCATCGGATGTATCCCACATACACCTTCGACGATGTGCTCAACAACATAGAGCGGCTGGGCAAGAAGAAGCCGCTGCAGGTGCACATGGCGCGCTATCGTCTCGGGCAGCTGGAGGAGATCCGGGCCCACGAGGCGGAGCTGATGGAGGAGGGACAAGATGATCAGCAGGACGGAGCTGGCGATGAGCCCTTCGATGAGTTTGATGCCCTGCTGGGCGAACAGATTGCCATGTCCAGACTGGCGCCACGCACGCCGCATCAGAGGAAAATGTCCACTGCCTCGAGCAACAGTACGCTGGTTACTCCCTCGTTTTCACGTGGCAATGCGGTGATGTCCACGCCATACTCGGCGGTAAATGCTCCCACCTTCGACCGAAATGGAGCTCCAACGTTCGATCGAAATGGAGCTCCGATTGCTGCGCTTGACATGAGTGACTATGGCCAGCCGCTGCCTCCCTCACAGCCTCCAACGCCGGCGGCCAAAAAATTGTCCAACGAGCAGATGGCCAGGATTGCCGAAAACCGGAGATTGGCCCAGGAGCGACTGAAGGCCAAACAGCAGCAGGAGGCTCAGAATGCTAGCTAAAGCAATGAAACTTGTGCGCCGAAAAAATATTTATTATGTTAAGAATTTTAAGAATGTTGTTTTTTACAAGGGTAATACTTTAAAATACATCTATTCTATAAGCAAATTTGGAAACTGCATTTTTTTTACAGGTTTGGCGTAATTCTTCTTTAAGGGGAGAGATACATATAGACAAAAAAAAAATTCCATTTTTTTTGTTATGAATTTTTAACGAAGAAATTCGAACTATTTTGGAACTTATACCAGGATGACGCCACCCACCTTCCTTGTGCAGTAGATATATTTCATTACTTTGAATGCGTTTTTCTCGAAACCATGTTTTCCGTAGCTGCGGATCGTGTATCTCAAAAAGTAATGCTTCGATCATCATGCTGCTTTTACAAAAATGTTTGTAATGAAATTGCCGACTGTCTGAACCTACTTTATGTACAAATTTGTACGGTTAAGTATTTTTTGTTAAGAAAAACAACAAAAAAAAAATTTGAAAAAAAATATTTTTGACTTTGAAAGAGTGCCACAACCAGAGTTTTTCAGATATTTTATGTAAGTTAGGTTCAGACAGTTTCTACGTTATTTCTTAACAAAATAAACTTGGTTTCATACTACTTTTTTTTAATATAGCCTGACAAAAAAATTCCCACGGCCGCCATTTTGAAAGATTTAAAAAAAAAAAAAAATTGGTTAAAATTATATAAGAACAATGTAATCAACATGCAAAGTTATGAAATCCCAGCACTATTCCTTATTGGTAAAAAAAAATCACGAAAAACATGACAAAACTGCAGTTCTATATGTATCTCCCCCCTTAAAATAACTGATATGGGCACTTCCACCAAAAAGTCCACAAAGCCAAAAACCTTGAAAATTTAATAAAACATATTTCCACATGATTTTTAACTGATAACAAAAAAAAAAAAGCAAAACAGTCAGTAACTGAGGGATAGAGGTTAGGAAATACACTTTACAAAACGCTAAGAAAAAATGTCACGAGCGAATGTGGTTGAAACTGCATAAAAAAATAGAGGCAAACACTTTTTGAGGAAAACTAAAACCATTACACAGCGACATGTTCGGACAACATTCTAAAAAAAATCACATTTAAATATTCCATCAGAATTCGCTAACTTCTGGTGTTGAATGAACTTCTCCGAAATCCACTTATATTTTTGTCCCGAGCGAATACGGCAGTTTTTTAACGATATCTTAAAAACTAAAAGTGGTACAAAATCAAGATTTACACAAAATAGAGCTTAAGAAGAGTGAAAAGAAACGCCCATTATTAAAATTAAAATTCATTTCATTCCAATTTTTTGGAAGTGCCCATTTCGGGATCGAAATCCATTGTATGAGTTCCAACTTTAATCCTTTCTCAAAATTAAAAGACTTTCTTGCTAGTGTAAAACATGTATATATTTATTTAAACGTTTAAGTCGTAGGCCGAGGGAAATAAGTTAGGATTCATGTGTAAGAAACTACATGGAGTGCGAGAGTATTTACAAGGACCTGGTCATGATGGTGATGCGTCGTGCGGGAAAAGCAACAACCCGTACTGTGAGCTCAGCTCTGTATGGGCAAATACTTTGCAAGTCTTCTTAGACTAATCGGGATACTATTTAGGTACTGGTGTGTAGCGGGATGATGGGCCCACCCTAAGTGCTAAATCTTAGGGCGACTCTGGGCAGCGATTCAAAGAGACCCTTGGCTCCCTTCAGCAGAACAGCCACGATGTTCATAAGCACAACCTCTTGATTGGGAGCCACTTGTGACTGGCCATCCTGATCCTTGGGATCGGATTTCTCCTTCACGGCCTCGCGAATCACATGCAATAGTCTCTGATAGAGGAACGATTGCCTGTAAATCGGTTTGGAGAGACTCAGATGGTCATCCTTCAGCAGATAGAAATCCCCGAAGTCTATCTTAGAGGACTCCTCCGTGACAATGCGTAAAGGGAACTTGAAGGTGGTCAGCATGGTGGGCGATCCCTCTGCCACACTAACGACCTTCACATGGCGCAGGAAGGTGTGCAGGCAGCCCATAAATCGGCGATGCATCTCCAGCAGCTTCGGCGAGTTCTCCTCCATTTCCTTGACCTCAATCGAGGGCGATAGTATCACCTGCATGTGCTGCTTCCATTTGGCAATGGGTGAACCGCGATGCGGGGTACCCAGAAATACAATGCCCTTGGTATTCTTGGCCAGCTGTTGGACCTTCGGCTCCTGCGAGTCCAGGGATTTGAGCAGTATCAGCTTGGTCAGCAGGCCGCCCATGGAATGTCCTATCCACACAATCGGACGATCGTTGCCCACGTCCGAAGCGGAGATCCTGTCGAGCAGAGTGCTGGCCCTCACATCAATGTGGCCCTGTCCCTTTTCACACGGGCAGTACTTTGTGAAGTTGGCCGACCATTCGGTCACCGCCGAAGTGTAATCAATGCCGAGAATCCTAGAGTCCGGATAATCATCCGGCAGCCATTCCATCGGCCAGCAGTTGGTGTACTCCTCACAGGTGTCCTGGTTGCGCCACTCACTCCCGCATACACTGAACTTTCCGACGCACTCTTCGTTGGCATTTAGCGGAACGTCCGGGTGAACCACCTCCCAATCGGAGTCCAACTCGGCCTCGTTTCTCAGGGTCTCGACGAATTCCATGGTGGCCGCATCGCTAATGTTCAGCCGCTGTTCCTCCACCTTTTTGCTGGCTTTCAAGACGGGATCTAAAGTTGGGGAAGAAAAAGAATTAGTTGAGGAGAAACTAGAGTTATTACCAGATATCGGATTTTAGGTGAAATCGTTTTTCTTTAAATACGATTTAAAGCCACATTTGATTAGTTACAAATTTTATTTATTAAGTTATAATTAGATTTAGGCCAAACTCATTGAGGTTTTTGTAAAAAAAATTTTAACCAATCAAATGTGCCTTTAAATCATATTTAAAAAAAACGATTTCACCTAAAATCCGATGTCTAGTTATTACTATCAAAAGACCTCGAATTTTGCATATTTGCATATTTTTATAGGAAAAAAACACCAAAGTTCGTTTCAATAAAAATATAGTTTGAAATTAATGGCATATTTTATTTTTTTTGCATATTTGCATAAAATGCATATGCATAAAATATGAAAAATATAAAATAAAATATTTATATATTTAAGATTGAAAATTGTTTGTTCCTTTTCGACATTTCTGAGATATCTAATTTTTTCCCAAATTTAAGGAAACTCCTATTTATATTTCCAACGAGTAGGCGAGAAGGGGGCAAAAATAGTAAAAGGGGCAGAATAGTTTTTGGCCCTATCGGCCAAACTGCTCATTTAAATTGCTCGCCGTGTTTACTAAAGGTTAAAAATTAGAGCCTCCAGCATTTCGGATATATTTTATGCTTATATTTTGCATATTTCCGATATGCATCCGAATTTATTACCTTTAAAAAATATGACACCTACCTAGAAATTTTGGTAAAAATCTACAAATATGCAAAGTCCGAGGTCTAGTTTTTATAATCATTTACCTTTGATTGCTTCCGTCTTGGGAATAGCATTGCCATTTTTGGAGGCTTCGCCCTGTTCCTTCTTTTGCTTGCCGCCATTAACTCTCTTCTGCTCGCCCACCAGGAACACATCATCCGTTTCACTGGTATAGAAGGCATTTTTCCCGTAGAGGCCCAGCTCCGTGGGCTTTCGATCCCGCTGCCGCCAGGTGATGAAAACCCCGCCAAGCAATCCGTGAACGAAAACAATATCAGCCTTTGGTTTCCTGCGGGTGCGAACTCGTGGATGCAGCGGATAGACATTCGGTGGATATGTGCACTGATTCGGATCGTCGTGATCCAGATTGGCCATCGTCTTGGCTGAGATCACCTGGAGACGCAGATCGGGGCACTGTTGCCACTCGGCGAGGGCTCCCACCCAGCCGGACGAAAAGAAATGCTCCACGGCATCGGGAACTAGGGACATATTGGCCAAAACCTTGCAGAGCGTCGATAGAGTCTCGTTGTCATCGCTGAAAATCTTTCGCAGCTCCATGAGATGCACCAGACCTCCGTCTCTGATGAGCCTGGCCGAGGCCTCGGGATCCTTGGTGATGTGGTGCAGGAAAGAGATGATTTCCTTGAGTAAATCCGTGTCGGCTGTGGAAAGAACAATGGTCTGCTCCTGGGTCAAGTATTCGTGGATGTCCTCCTGTAAAAAACAACAGCAAGATTTTAGTTGAATGAAAAATTAATTAGACAAAGTAAACTTACAATGGGATCTTGTTCGGGAAAGTATTTGCTAAAGAAGTGATCAACGCAGGACATGGGACGCAGGCGAGCCAACATAACGTGGAGCTCGGAGAGCAGCATCTTGGGATTCTTGATGCAGCCGCGTCGGTGGACGGGCATGAACCAACGTGTGTCGGCATTGCAGCGGGCCAACGAGACGGCGGTGCGGGCATCGCAGATCTGTGCCAGATGCCGGAAATCCCAGTCCTTTAAGTGATCCATGCAGATGAGCTGTTGCACCGCCTTTAGGCGCTCCGGCTGGCTTCCCGTTTGGGCGATATTGAGCAGCCGCCAGGCCACCGAGTGCTTGGCCGCCTTCCACCATTTGCCAATCGGATTGATGATCACGCTGATCCACTTCTTCTCGTCCTCCTCCTTCTGCTTCAGCTTGCGCATGGACTCGCGGTAGATGTGGTACTTGATGTAGATGTACTCGGCACGACGTTTGTCCGGCTCCGGCGATTTCTTGTCCACATACTGGGCGAGGAAGCGGCGAACCTGCGGCGACTCGTACAGCAAAAAACCAGCACTGCAATTGGAAATAATTGATTTGTGTGTTAATATAAATACTTGATAAATAAGTGATTTCGATTGATTTTAAAGTATTTTAAGATAATTTTCACCATTTCATCCCATCAAATTTAATTCATTTTTGAATTTTTAATATTTTTTTTTTAAATATTTAAATTAAAAATTCATTTCAAACTGAAACTTGTTTGTTTTAGCCATTTTTTATGTTTTGTAATTTCACTTGTTATTTAATAAAATACTATTCACATAGCAATTGCAGTTGCCAAAAATTTGTTTTCCAATAAAAGTGAAACAAACAATTATTTATAGCT